CCATAGGTCCTAGGTACTGAAGAGGAGTCCCTCCATAGGTCCTAGGTACTGAAGAGGAGTCCCTCCATAGGTTCTAGGGAGCGAAGAGGAGTCCCTCCATAGGTCCTAGGGAGCGAAGAGGAGTCCCTCCATAGGTCCTAGGGAGCGAAGAGGAGTCCCTCCATAGGTCCTAGGGAGCGAAGAGGAGTCCCTCCATAGGTCCTAGGGAGCGAAGAGGAGTCCCTCCATAGGTCCTAGGTAGCGAAGAGGAGTCCCTCCATAGGTCCTAGGTACTGAAGAGGAGTCCCTCCATAGGTTCTAGGGAGCGAAGAGGAGTCCCTCCATAGGTCCTAGGGAGCGAAGAGGAGTCCCTCCATAGGTCCTAGGTACTGAAGAGGAGTCCCTCCATAGGTCCTAGGTAGTGAAGAGGAGTCCCTCCATAGGTCCTAGGTAGTGAAGAGGAGTCCCTCCATAGGTCCTAGGTACTGAAGAGGAGTCCCTCCATAGGTCCTAGGTAGTGAAGAGGAGTCCCTCCATAGGTCCTAGGTACTGAAGAGGAGTCCCTCCATAGGTCCTAGGTACTGAAGAGGAGTCCCTCCATAGGTCCTAGGTACTGAAGAGGAGTCCCTCCATAGGTCCTAGGTACTGAAGAGGAGTCCCTCCATAGGTCCTAGGGAGCGAAGAGGAGTCCCTCCATAGGTCCTAGGGAGCGAAGAGGAGTCCCTCCATAGGTCCTAGGGAGCGAAGAGGAGTCCCTCCATAGGTCCTAGGGAGCGAAGAGGAGTCCCTCCATAAGTCCTAGGTAGCGAAGAGGAGTCCCTCCATAGGTCCTAGGTACTGAAGAGGAGTCCCTCCATAGGTTCTAGGGAGCGAAGAGGAGTCCCTCCATAGGTCCTAGGGAGCGAAGAGGAGTCCCTCCATAGGTCCTAGGTACTGAAGAGGAGTCCCTCCATAGGTCCTAGGTAGTGAAGAGGAGTCCCTCCATAGGTCCTAGGTAGTGAAGAGGAGTCCCTCCATAGGTCCTAGGTACTGAAGAGGAGTCCCTCCATAGGTCCTAGGTAGTGAAGAGGAGTCCCTCCATAGGTCCTAGGTAGTGAAGAGGAGTCCCTCCATAGGTCCTAGGTAGTGAAGAGGAGTCCCTCCATAGGTCCTAGGTACTGAAGAGGAGTCCTACCCAGAGAGACACAATAAAGTATAACCCATTAGCAATAATAGTCAAGACAATACCAGCCCTTGAATCTCCACCCTCCAATCAACACCTAGTAGAGAATCTCCACCCTCCAATCAACACCTAGTAGAGAATCTCCACCCTCCAATCAACACCTAGTAGAGAATCAAATGGTTTGTATTGTCCTGACCCCTTGACCACTGAAGGCAAGATGAGGGGGAGGGAAGGGAGGGGAGGGGAGGGAGGGAGGGGAAGGAAGGGGGTGGGTGCTTCATGTTTAATTGTTTTCTTAATTTAATCTTTCCACTGTGTCTTTTGGTCGTGAGGCTTGTGTGTGGGTTGCCCCCTTCGGGGTGTTCTTCTGCCTGTCTTCTGTTCCTTTGCTGCCTGTCTGTCTTTTATTTCCCCTTCTGTCTGCCTGCGTCCTTTCTGTTCCCCCTCCCCCTTCTCTCTGGGTTTCATAAGAACCTAAGATAGGAAATCCCCCTCCTTCCCAACCTTTCCCCTCTCTTTCCCACTCTTTACCCCCAGCTCTCTCTCTCTCTCTCTCTCTCTCTCTCTCTCTCTCTCTCTCTCTCTCTCTCTCTCTCTCTCTTCTCTCTCTCTCTCTCTCTCTCTCTCTCTCTCTCTCTCTCTCTCTCTCTCGTCACACCCTGCCCTCCCTCACCCCCCCCCCTTTTAATATAACACATGGAGAAAGTCAAATATCATCAGTTCATTAATTCATTCCATTAACATCTATGCAAAATTCACTCCAGTTTGGGAAATATAAGATTTATTATGGAAATACGACAGTCAGACACACACACAAACACACACACACACACACACACACACACACACACACACACACACACACACACACACACACACACAGGTAAGCTGGTAAGGTGCTCCAGTGGATAAGGGAGTATCTAAGCAATAGGAAGCAGAGAGTTACGGTGAGGGGTGAGACCTCCGATTGGCGTGAAGTCACCAGTGGAGTCCCACAGGGCTCTGTACTCGGTCCTATCTTGTTTCTGATATATGTAAATGATCTCCCGGAGGGTATCGATTCATTTCTCTCAATGTTTGCGGACGATGCTAAAATTATGAGAAGGATTAAAACAGAAGAGGACTGTTTGAGGCTTCAAGAAGACCTAGACAAGCTGAAGGAATGGTCGAACAAATGGTTGTTAGAGTTTAACCCAACCAATTGTAATGTAATGAAGATAGGTGTAGGGAGCAGGAGGCCAGATACAAGGTATCATCTGGGAGAGGAAATTCTTCAGGAGTCAGAGAAGGAAAAAGACTTGGGGGTTGATATCACGCCAAACCTGTCTCCTGCAGCACATATCAAGCGGATAACATCAGCGGCATATGCCAGGCTGGCCAACATACGAACGGCATTCAGAAATTTGTGTAAAGAATCATTCAGAATTTTGTATACCACATATGTCAGGCCAATCCTGGAGTATGCAGCCCCAGCATGGAGTCCATATCTAGTCAAGGATAAGACTAAACTGGAAAAGGTTCAAAGGTTTGCCACCAGACTAGTACCCGAGCTGAGAGGTATGAGCTACGAGGAGAGACTACGGGAATTAAACCTCACTTCGCTGGAAGACAGAAGAGATAGGGGGGACATGATCACCACATTCAAGATTCTGAAGGGAATTGATAGGGTAGATAAAGACAGTCTTTAACACAAGGGGAACACGCACAAGGGGACACAGGTGGAAACTGAGTGCCCAAATGAGCCACAGAGATATTAGAAAGAACTTTTTTAGTGTCAGAGTGGTTGACAAATGGAATGCATTAGGGGGTGATGTGGTGGAGGCTGACTCCATACACAGTTTCAAGTGTAGATATGATAGAGCCCGATAGGCTCAGGAATCTGTACACCTGTTGATTGACGGTTGAGAGGCGGGACCAAAGAGCCAGAGCTCAACCCCCGCAAACACAACTAGGTGAGTACAACTAGGTGAGTACACACACACACACACACACACACACACACACACACACACACACACACACACACACACACACACACACACACACACACACACACACACACTGCCTTAATGGAGAAACTAGGAGATGCGTTACTCCAGCAGCCAGGACACACGGCCACATTCATAAGAGGACGGCCAGACTCTCCCCAACACACAAGGCTCCCAAACATTATGTCCTTATTATATGTCAAGCTATATTGCCTCGCCCAAACTTCTCCTTGTGAATATTGTGGCTCTGGCTCTACACAGTGTGGATATGAGGGTGGGTGTGTAGTGTGTGTGTGTGTGTGTGTGTGTGTGTGTGTGTGTGGGTGGGTGGTGTGTGTGTGTGTGTGTGTGTGTGTGTGTGTGTGTGTGTGTGTGTGTGTGTGTGTGTGTGTGTGTGTGTGTGTGTGTGTGTGTGTGTGTGTGTGTGTGTGTGCTCAACGAGCTGGGCTTTATAGGATTCGAGCTTTAGCTCTTGGACTTTAGCTCTTTAGCTCTTATATCTGAAGTCGACTGATGCATAAGTTCCTGGACTCTTGGCTGTATATTCATTTCAATCCGTGTATGGAGTTTTGTCTTCATCAATTCACGTTAATTCATTCAACTTCTTTTACTCTAACACTGACGAAGTTTTTTTAATAAATATCACTAGTCATTAGGTCTTTAAATTTCCGTGTGTCCTGAATTTGTGCCTCGTATAAATTTCGAGTATTTTGTATGTTGTAAGCATGTCTACCTCGTTTCTTCCCTCTTTCAGCGAGATCTCTAGGCTGTGTGTTATCTGACATAAATGGTATACGGAATCCCAGTTGGATTATGTCTAAAAAGCTGTCATTCTGTTAGCAACCCAACATATCAGATAATTAGGCTATCTGATTAGAATTTCTTATATTTCTTATATTTCTTATATTTTTTATATAAGAATTTTCTTATATTTCTTATATTTCTTATATATCATTTTTCTTATATTTCTTATATATCATTTTTCTTATATTTCTTTCTTATATATGATTTTTCTTATATTTCTTTCTTATATTATTATATCTTATATTTCTTATATTTGGCATAATAAAGTGCAAATTACTGTTTCTTCCCAACAACTTTGTGTCGGTTCTTTCACAACATAACAAAACGAGTTTATTATAAACAGTAAACTTGAATCCACAGATGATCGTTTAATACAAAAAAAAATGGATTTTAATAAATGCAAACGATGTCTCTGGAACGGTGTGGAGAGGCTACGCTCATTTCCGGGGCGTTGACGAAACTTTTCGTGCTTCTCTAATCCCACCAAAATTTTCCAGCCCATTTAAGTACTTAAGTACTGGCCTAAGTACTTGATTGCCGTGTAGGGTTACTGGGGCAGAGCAACGACGAGGAACAGGGGGTAAGGGGAAGCTTCTAGGGCCAGGGGTCAGATTCACGAAGCAGTTACGGAAGCACTTACGAACCTGTACATCTTTTCACAATCTTCGGAGGCTTTGTTTACAATTATTAAACAGTCAATGAGCTCCGAAGCACCAGGAGGCTGTTTATAACAATAACAACAGTTGATTAGGAAGTTTTCATGCTTGTAAACTGTTTAATAAATGTAACCAAAGCCGTCAAAGATTGGGGAAAGATGTACACATTCGTAAGTACTTGCGTAACTGCTTCTTGAATCTGGCCCCTGAAATCTAGGTTAGGTTACTTTCTGAGGGTTGTTGTAAGAAAGGGGGAGAAATCTCGCTTCTTGCACATTAGTTACTTTTAGAAAGTTGAGTTTCTGGAGACGTGGTTTGTATTACTGGAGGTGGAGATGATTGTCATGTTCTGGGGACCTGGAGACGTGATTGTAGAGGGAGATAAGATTGTGAAGTTCTATGGATGTGGAGATGCCCATTGTGTTTCTGGAGATGGAGTGTGAAATATTCAACTTCATGGGACTTAGGCTCTGTGGTGAGTGCATCGCCTGGTTTGTCTGATCTGAAACTCAAAACACTTGGCTGTACAGTTAGCTTTCGGATTTAGTAGATTTAGCTTTCGGCTGTAGATGTGGTATCCATGTAAACTCTAGGTACCGAAGAGACGTAGAAGCCAAAGTTTGTGTTGACTGGACTATTAGCACAGGTCCTGGATTCATTAAGCAATTTAAGAGTCAATTTACGAAACATGTACATCTCTCCTCTGTCACGAAGACAAACTTCATAGAACAGTTTGAGTTCGTAAGCGCTACAAGGGTGTGTGTAACCATAGTAACCATGTGACGAGAACGTGCTCAACAAAGCCATGATGATAGAGGAAAGATATACGGGTTTCGAAACTTGAGACACAAAAGCGTTGGTCGATTCCCGCCCTGACAAGCCTGTTATCTGTAAGTACTCTTGTTTGACCTAAACTGCAGAACCACGAGATCCAATCAGTCGTTTTAAACTCAACTGCTCGTTTTAAAACTTTGAAAACAAAACTTTAAAACTAAAATTTTTAAAACTTGAACGTTTAAACTCGTTTTAAACTAAAAAAAATATGTTTTCAACAATCATATTTACATTTATTAAACAGCTATGAGCTCCGAAGTGCTGCAAGGTTATTTATGACAATAATAGCCTTAACTTCTAATGTTTCGAATCTCGTAAACAAAGGTGATTAGCAAAAGATGTAGAGGTCTCGTAAATGGATTGGAAGATGCTAGCTGAATCCTAGCTTTAGGGGTAGCATTTCTTGCCGTTTATTGACAACTTGAATGAAGTGGTAGAGCAGTGAGGAGCCCATGAGTGATAGTCTACAGTAGTTACCTTGAGGTTACCTTGAGGTGCTTCCGGGGCTTAGCGTCCCCGCGGCCCGGTCGTCGACCAGGCCTCCTGGTTGCCGGACTGATCAACCAGGCTGTTGGACGCGGCTGCTCGCAGCCTGACGTATGAGTCACAGCCTGGTTGATCAGGTATCCTTTGGAGGTGCTTATCCAGTTCTGTCTTGAACACTGTGAGGGGTCGGCCAGTTATGCCCCTTATGTGTAGTGGAAGCGTGTTGAACAGTCTCGGACCTCTGATGTTGATAGAGTTCTCTCTCAGAGTACCAGTTGCACCTCTGTTTAGTAGGTAAACCTCCCACAGGAACCTGAGAATGATAGTCTACAGTAGTAGGTAAACCTCCCACAGGAGCCCGTGAGTGATAGTCTACAGTAGTAGGTAAACCTCTATCAGAAGCCTGAGAGTGATAGACTACTCTGCAACAGCAGTAATTTCTGCTCCAGGAGCCCCCAAGGGCCTCGTCTGCTCAATTCATGGTATCATTAGGCTAGTTTTTTTCTGCAGCTTAATGTGGGAGATTAACCTTAATCCAGCATCAGTGGAAGACTCTCTTGGTTATCCAGCATCAGTGGAGGATTCGAGGTTATCCAGCATCAGTGGATATCCATCAGCTCATCCTCGTCAACAAAATCCAAATGCTCGTTAGTCCAGTCTCCACGCTACCTGTCTATAAATAAAAAATGGTTTACACACGACTCTCAACTGATGACGCTCGAACATTTATCGAAACAGTGCTTTGCTGACGACCTCTGTTCGAATCCCAACGCTGTAAATGCGTCACCCACGAACTTCATATACAAATAATCACCAGTAGAACCTAAACACCTAACCTATGACTTAACTATACGTAGAAATTTAAAATATAAAGATAGAATTATATAAATTACAACAAACTTATTTTTAATCAACAATACGTTATGATGAATTTGTCTTGAGGGAGATGGTCCCAGCCTGGCCTGAGGACGGCCTGAAGGAGTTATACCGGGATTTAGGTGTCTTAAGCAGTTTGGTTTACTTGTTGGCAAGAGTATGGAAAGCAAGTATCTAAATCCATCACTGCATTATCATCATCCTTTTTCGATCCTCCTTGAAGATTGGGAGTGGGAAAGTTACATATGGGCCTTAATATATGTCCATATGTAACTTATTATACTAGGGGCCCATTTGAAACATACATAAACAACTCTTATCAACTTGTTTCAATCAAAGATATTGTGTGTTCTCTTATTTATCATCACTGGGGGATACCTAAAATATTCTATTTAATGCTAATCTTATTTACTATTCGCCACTTCCAAGCAGACTGTGTTCCCACTAGGATATTTTTCAGGTACAGTACTGAAGAATTGCCCCAACATCTCCTTAATTGAGTTTTAGTGCACGAGTTTGTATCATTCCCGGCCTTCCTTAGCCTGCCATATATATACTCCCCTACTTTGACAGGGTAAGATAGCTGCTATAGAAAGAAGGACCAGTAACAGCGCCCTGCAACTTCTAACTAGTATAGCATAAGCTTAACCACACCCCTTCCCCATTCTCCCACTGTTAAGGACATAATAGTCACGCCCTCGTCTCTCTCTTTCCCTCTTTAGCGGTGAGTTTCATCAACTACGTGCTGCTGTGTTTGGTCTACACCACGTGGCTGGCGTGTCGCTCGGGTGAGGGTTCCCTCTTGCGGGTAGTGCGAACCAAAGGGCTCAAGTACTTCGTCTTGGCCGCCGTCGACGTCGAAGCCAACTACCTGGTGCTCAGGGCCTACCAGTTCACCTCCGTCACTTCAGTCCAGGTACTTCCCGCCCTTCAGCCATGGTAGGCGTCGGCAGCCACATGCAGAAAGTTGTTATAGCTGTAATGCAGTCCAAGTTTCTTAAAACGAAAGTTCTTACAGTAACTATTTGGTCGATGGTACCGATATGTCATGATGGACGCCCAGAAAGTAGTTTTTAGTCTCTTGATCCTCTCTGACCTGCCCGAAACGCTATGGGTGCTAGTGGCTTTACAAGAATGTAAAACCTCAATGCTTTGTACTCTCATAAACCCAATGTACCTTCTTGTATATAAATAAATAAATAGTATTACTGAAGTTGGACAAACCGGAAACTTTTTTTTTTATTTATTAGCAACATAAATATATGACTTAATGGAACCTATTAATCCCAGTCCTAATATACGCTATCTTTAGCCTATAACAGTACATGTAAATGCCTCTCAACACCTCAAACCAATCTTATTTGCTGATGACAAAACTTTCATTTTCTCCAGTCCTGACCCGCTTGCTCTAAATGCCACAGTGAATACTGAACTAAATAAAGTCCATCTTTGGCTAACTGCTAACAAGCTCACCCTTAACATTGACAAAACTTTCTATATTTTGTTTGGTAATAAATCCTCAAATGAAATTAGTCTAAGAATAAACAATATACAAATGAGTAGTAAAGTTAATGGTAAATTCCTTGGTGTCCTCATCGATAACAAGTTGAATTTCCAGGAACACATTCTAAATATAGCAAAAAAAAAAGGTTCTAAAACTGTTGGCATTCTTTTTAAGATCAGATATTATGTCCCTCGCCCTGCCCTGGTGACGCTCTATTACTCTCTCATCTATCCTTATCTCAACTATGGTATTTGTGCTTGGGGTTCTACTACCTAAAATCATTTACGTCCTCTAATTACCCAACACAAAGCTTCTATTATAACAATATCTAACTCTGGCCCCAGACAGCACTTGGTACCCTTACTCAAATCTCTGAATATGTTAGATATTAAGTCACTGCACATTCTCTCATGTGTACTCTATATATTTAAAACTCTGAATTGTAATATCAATCCTGACCTTAAAAGCTTCTTAGAAGGTTGTAACAGAACCCATGGGCACCACATTAGAAATAAATACCTATTTGATATTCCAAGAGTACGACTTAGTCAAAGTAGAAATGCTCTACAAATCAAGGGACCCAGAATGTGGAATGACCTTCCCAATCAAGTCAAAGGCTGTACCTCTCAACCAGTTTAAGATGAAAACTAAGTACTACCTAATGAACTCCATGTAACCTACCTTACCCCTAAATGTCAACCCATGTCTTACTATTTTTAATCAATGCTGTTTTTTGACCAACTTGTATATTGGCTATTTTATACCATATTCCCCCCCCCCCCTTTTTTTTACCTTTTATATTTTTAATGCAATTTATACTTTAAGCTCAATTACTATTAAGTTTTAGTCTATTAGATTTATAGATAGAGCTAGTACATACAATACCTAAAGCCACTATTCGGGCACTATTTGCCCGAATAGTGGCTTTAGGTATTGTATGTACTAGCTCTATCTATAAATCCAACGTTATGTTTGAAAAACAACTATGTATGTACTTAATAAAATTTACTTTACTACTTTACTATATGTGCTATACTAGGCTGATGAATAATTAAGTTTGGTTTTTAGCTTTACTATTTCCGGGCTATTAAAAACCGCACAGAAAGTGGTATACTGGAGTTCCCGTACGACATGATGGTATTATCGACCCAATAGTTACAAAGAGTACTATCTTTGGGGAGAATGGGTTGTTATTATTTAGTAATTAATAATTTAGTAATTAATATTACTATTAATTACTAAATTATTCTAATATATATATTTTTAATGTTAATATTTTAAATTAATATTATATATTCAATTTTTTAAGTTAATCTATATATCTATGAAATAGAATATCAGTCTGTTCAACAAGGAGGCGAGACGCTAGCCTTGTCTAACTTCAAAAATGACACAAGGGGGGGGGGGAAGTATATGTGAGTGTTAAAGACGACATGGGGTTGGCCCTAGCGCCACCTTTTAAGAAATATCTGCATCTAAAGAAACCCCATACAATTGTTATGAAGTATGTAATTGGGGATGTGTTCGGTTTAGCAGGTTTTCGGTGCTTTGTAATTTTAATGTTTTTAATGGGGGGGGAGGGGAAGATGGGTGATGTTGAGGTAGAAGGATAGAGAGAGAGAAGAGGAGAGGAGAAAGGTGGAAAATGTGGGAAGGGAGAGTGGAGAATAGGTAGCAAAGGTAAGAGAGGGTGGGACAGATTGGGAAATGTAGTGGAGAAAGAGGAGAAGATGAGTAAGAAGGGAGAATGCCAGGGAGAGAAGAGAACAATGGAAGAACGTGGGACAGTATGGAGAGGGAGAGTTGAGATGGGGGAGAGAGGGAGTAAAAAAGACACAAGAGCAGAGAGTGGGGATGGAGAGAGGCCCAGGCACAGCTTGGTGACCTATCTAGTTATATTATGTAATAAAATGGATAGGGGTACCCAGCGGTGAGCGAATCGCTGAATCTCTCTCTCTCTCTATTCCTCTCCCTCTTCTTCCTCTGCTCCCTCTTCCTACTCCCTCCCTCCCCATTCTCCATTTTCTCTTTCTCCCTTTCCCATCCTCTTTGTCACACACTCTTACCCTCTCTCTTTCACTTCCTATCTTCCTCACTCCCTCCTTATCTATTTCTCTCTCCTCCCCCTCCATTTCTCTCTCTCTTTCCTCCCCTCTGTCTCTCTCTCTCTCTCTCTCTCTGCCTTTCTGCTATGGCTACTGAAAAATTCACTGGAAAACAAACCCCTCCATTTTATACTTCATGTGACTTGGAGGCAATGGGGGTGCCGACCTTGACCTGTCTATGACAGTTCCTTACCATAATTGTGTCATTCTGAAAAGTTAGGTGAGGCTTACCCCAAACGTCTGGCCTCCAGACTTGCACAGACATTCTCTTTTATAGATTTAGATATTCAATATTAATTATATAACAATTAACATGTACAATTATATAATAATAGGGGGTAAGGGTTATACCTGCAATATATATAAATATATATACACAACCCAGTATTTAAGTAAAATACAATTGATATAATATACATACTCCCAAAGATTAAACAAGCTGGCATAATAATAATAACCTCACTTTTCTGTAGTCACTTGGGCTGGATGATAGAGCGACTGTCTTGCTTCATGCAGGTCGGCGTCCAATCCCTGACCGTCCAAGTGGTTGGGCACCATTCCTTCCCTCGTCCCATCCCAAATCCTTATCCTGATCTCTTCCATGTGCTATATAGTTGTAATGGCTTGGCGCTTTCACATGATAATTCTCTCCCCTCCTTCCCTGCAGTCACTGATAGGTACACAGACACAGGTTAATTCATAGACAAACATATGTAAGTCTTGAACATGTAACTAACTCTTGTTTGGCCAGCTGTTGGACTGTTTCGTGGTGCCAGTTGTTCTGGCACTGAGCTGGCTCTTCCTCAAGGTCCGCTACAAGCTCGTCCATGTGCTTGGGGTCGGGCTCTGCCTCCTGGGCGTCGGCTGCCTCGTCTGGGCCAATGTGGAGGACGGCAAAGCTGCCATACCTGGTAGGTCTTAGCCTTTCTTGCACTGGCAGTACGAAGTAAAATAATAATGAGCTCATTGAATAAATATCAATAAGTAAAGTTTCAGTATAGGTACTGTATGGAACCTTGGTAAACAAGGTTTTGATGTTTGCATTATAAGGTTCCCTAGTATAGGAATAAGGCGTCCCCCCTAGTACAGGTATAGGAATACGGCGTCCCTAGTATGGAAAAAGTATCCATTGTATAGGAATAAAGTATCCCTAGAACAGGAATACCTTATTGTTTTATTGTGTCCATTCAATTTTCCTCTTATTCCTCCTTAAGGTTTCAGTACTGCTCTGTATCTTCAGAACATGTCATTGTATTGACTTGAAACTCAAAATATTTAAGTTTGAAAAAAATAAAAATACTACGTGTAGTTAAACAATATAGCTTCCATTACAAGTAGTTTTTCTTTGTTTCCATGCCATAACCTGAGAACATTACCTCATTCTCTACTGTATTCATTTGCAAGAGATTTGAAATGTTTGTGGTCCATTTCATTAAAGTTTTATCACATGTGGAGATCAATTATCATTTGCTATTTTATTTTTGTGCTTTTATTTGTGGTTTCATTTAATATTCTATATATTCAGAACATTTAAGGGTTGTAATTTTTAGTGTTGATTTAAGAAAAGATAATGTTTTTTGTTAGCTACTTAAAATCCATCAATATACAGTATATAAGATTTATGCTAAAGATTCTGCGCGAAACGCTATACACGTTAGGGGCTTAGAACACCAATGTTATGTACTCTCTCAACCCAATGTAAATAAATAAATAAATAAAGTGTTGTATGTAAATAAGATTTTACTTTAATTGTCCAAATCATTCTATTGAGTCGTCACTTTCCTCCCAGGAGCCGAGCGCCTGCTGGGAGACATGCTGTGCCTGGGCGGGGCGACACTCTATGGCATCAGCAACGTGGCACAGGAGTACATTGTGAAGACCTACGACAGTGTGGAGTTCCTCGGCATGATGGGGCTCTTTGGTTCTCTCATCAACGGTATACAGTTGTAAGTGTCATCAATGCTACTCTCTTTCTAGTGATTTGTGTAATTTAAACTTTTTTTTTTTTGTATGGGTGAAGAAAGGAGATTTAATTTCTTGTGAGTGATGAGAATATGGTGTTGCCGGCAGGATCCTGGAATAATTAGGGATATTGTGTCATAACAATTTTCAGAGAAGCATTGCTGGCCCCTCCACTCAACAAAACTTATCAAAAGTCCACCACTTTGTAAATAAAAACAAGTCATAAGACTTCATCCAAAATGGTTTATTTTTTATTTTTTAGGTTATGAATTTCAATGAGAAGTTCTGAGAGGAGATCCTAGGATGGTTCCTTGGTGTTATAGTTACCTGACAAGCTTCATCAATCAATGCCAGGCTCTTGTGAATCATTGTAAGCCTACCAAAGACCAGAGGTCAGAACATGCAGCACCTGCAGTGCTTCTATTGTTCGTAAGATCACTAATAAAGCACAGATACATGGCATCATGCACAGAAGAGTATACTTGTACTTAATTAAACCTTTGAATTACTTGACCAAATAATCTATACCTTCTACCTGAACTTACGAAGATACATAAGGTACCAGCTTGTACTTGTGCTAGAGAAAAGTACTTAAGGTCAGGCCTGGTAAATAGACTTGTGATCTTATTTGATGTTGTAAGCAAGTTTTTTGTTTCTTTTGGCTGATCTGTTTTCCTGGGTAGCTTCATTTAATTCCATCATGTATAGCAAATAATCTTTAGTAGACTGATAGTTGTTCTAGAGGTTGAACTTCATTAATCCATTTAATAAAGAGTACCAAATAAACATTATGTAACTCCTGCTAATATCTTGCATGCTAATGAACAAATAACACTGCCTGAAAGCAACTTGACAATGTATATATCTTTTTTTTTAAGATTTTTTTTAAATATTAATAGTATATTTATAAGTATTAATAATTACATATCTGTTAATGATAAACTTCTGAAGGGATGCAAATGGAGTGTCTATTTTTAAAGAGGGTGATAAATCAATTGCATCGATCTATCAACCTATTGGCTTAACATCTATTGTAGGAAAACTACTCAGTTTGATCATTTCAAAAAAGATCCACTGATATCTTGAAAAACATGGATTAATTAAAGATTGACAATGGGAATTTACAGTCTCATGTGTAACACATTTGCCCTCATTCCTTTCCAATATATTTCACACAGTTAGCACTGGAAAGGATTTCGACATTCTATATCACAAAGTATTTCCTACTGTGTTCATTCTATATCTCTAGTGAAGCATTTCATACTGTGCTAGAGGAGATGGCTTTTATCCTAATTTTTATTTCGTTGTAGTTATTTCAAAGAAATAACCGAAACCGAAATGCCCGAAACGCTGCGCGTACTAGTGGCTTTACAAGACTGTAATTACCATATTATGTATCCTCACATTCCCAATGTACCTTCTTGTATATGCATAAATAAATAAATAAATAAAGAAAACAAAGATTTAGCATAAATGGAGTTGTCAGAGTAGGAAACCGTTGTAAGTACAAAGTGCCCCAAAGTTCTGTTCTGGGACAGTTGTTGTTATAGATTCAGCTACCCGGACCAAAATGTAGCATGGGCTGTGGTGAGCCCGTAGTGAACTTACGTGGCACAGAAACGGGGCTGTGTCACACTGTGGGGTGGGACAGTTGTTGTCCACTATATATATAAGGGTCCAGGTAGTACAGTCAGGTTCATTATTGATTTACAATATGGAATTCCAAGTTCGAATCCCGGGTGGGACAGAAATGGCTGGATGTATTTCCTATCACCTGTTCACTTAGCAATAAACAGCCATATTTTGACCATAGACATTTTTTTAATCCAAAGTATGTTAGTAGACATGCACAGCATTGTTACTTCTATTATATTATTTACCAGCAAAGGCAAAGTCTATTGCTAAATTTTAATTTGTCTTTCAATAATATTAGAACATTGTTGACAGGAACCTCAGTGAAAAGTGAATCAACATCCAAGCTTAGCAACTTTACATTATTACATTTCATGTCCCGTATTTTACAAATAAAATCTCTGGAATGTTTAATGTGTGAGTCAAAGAAAACACATATGAAAGGGGACTGTACACTGCTTATCTATTTTCTTACAAGTTAGCCAAATGTTTTGAATTCTCTTAACATCCAAGTTAGCATCATAGCCTCACTTACGGAAGCCCCTTTGCAGAGCGATACTAGAGCGCGATGATGTGGGTTCTGTACGGTGGGACACGTGGCCAGTTCTGGCGCTGGTTGGGGGCTTCAGCGCCGCACAGTTCCTCTTCTATGTTGTGGCTCCGGCCGTCATTCGTGTCACCTCTGCCACAGCCCTCAACCTGGCCCTGTTTACGGCCGATTTCTACATCCTCATCACTGGTATTGCACTCTTCAGGTTCAAGGTGGGATATCTTATGTTTCAAACTTGGTAACATGTTCTTTGTTTTCCTTCTCTGTTCAGTATAATGATTAATTAATTAAATGATTAAATTTAATATGTGATGCTGTATTTTATATATATATATATATATATATATATATATATATATATATATATATATATATATATATATATATATATATATATATATATATATATATATATATGTATGTATGCATGTATGTATGTATGTATGTACAGTACAGTACAGTACAGTGGATTCTCAAGTGATGAGCGGCTCCAGTTACGAGAATTTTGAGTAACGAACAAGCCAATCGCAGAAAATGTCTCGACTGACAAGTATTCGTTTGGTTAACAAGCGTTCCCAC